ATCAGTTGCTAGTGGAGAGACTGAACTCATTGATGGGTTATTTATCAGTTCATGCCTAAAGAGATTATGAGAGCATATGAAAAACTCTGCATCGATGCTAGTGAGCATATGAAAAACTCTAATTCATACTTAATATAGAAACTTTCTTTCCAGAGAATCTGCATAGGTCAAAACCTTTCGATCTATGTTCGACTAATAGTTATATATTCATGAATTTTTTTTGGACCAATTTCTAATAAAAATTTGAGTTGGTCGACAATTCGTCAAAAAGTTATGATTCATTTTCGACCATTCTAAAATTGCTACATATGCGGTTGACAATTGGTAAGTAATTTTCTACCAATTTACGTCGAATATATTTTGTTAGAAATTAATAAATTATCAATCAATTTTTAATTAAAATTTGAATTAGTCGATAATTGGTCAAAATTTACTAATCATTTATCAACCAACTATATTGGTCTACTCTTTTGACCAATTTTTGAACATTCTTCCACTACTGGTCGCCACCGCTCTTCCACTACCAGTCGCCACTGCTCCTAAGATCAAAATTTATATATTTTTGTCTAGACAACCTAAGATATGTGATATACTTGTCTCATTTTAGGTTTTCTACTATGTTTTCACTTGTTGACTAATGCTCTGCTAATGTTGTTTTTATCATCTTGAATTTGGAATTTGTAAAATGCTTAAAGGTATATAAATTGGAAAAACAAAAAAATAGAAAGGTTATACTCTGGTTTCAAAACCTAAATTGAAAATCTAAAATATTAATAAAGACGAATGATAACTAGTATACTCTGGTTTGAAAACCTAGACAAGACAATTACCAACAAGACAATAATCAAGAAGAAAGATGATCTTGGTGTGCGAGCAGAAGACTGAAAGCGAGCTCCAATTGCATTTACCGAATCACTGGATTTTCCGAGAAAACCTACAAGCTTTGGTCCTAGTCCGGTTTTGGGCTCCAACAAATAGCTGCGGCTATCGGTATTCCACATACCAAGCTCTTCATATCTTGAATAAGAGGTTACCATTTTAATCCCCAATACTTGAGGATCACTTGAAAAGATGCTCCACGATATGAAAATGGACGTGATGTATTCCTCGGGATACTCCACCACAAACTCGACCTAAATTACAAGTGTACAGTAAGCGATTATAAGTCTTAGAGATCCAATTCACAATATAATTATGAATTAAGATTTAAACTAAGCTAAAAATACGTTTGTGGGCTTTTGTGAGGAAATGAAGCAAGCAATAAAATAAATCGCTTGTAAGCAATAATGAAGAAAACGTTGGGCTTTCAAGGATTCTCAAAGATTTATAGTTTGAACTATTCATGCACTGATTTGTAAGGGCAATTGAATTGATTTATTTCATCATAGAACATGAATATTATAGTAAGTTAATCATACTGTAGCAGAGAAAACTACTACGACACTATCAATCAATTCTTACAGTCAATAGCATAAATAACATACAAATATAAGCAATACACAATATTTTTTCCACGTTAAACTCTATATGCTGTGATCTCAATACAGGTTTTGAGGGATGCTAGGGATTCAAAGAGAATAATAATATACTTTGGGATTTTGTACTAGTCCTGGCTAGATAATTAGCTTCCGTATTGCCATTGACTCCAAAGTTCAGTTTTATTGATTTTATTATATCTATTTTATGATTTTATCGAACTTCCACAAGTATACTCCGAACAAAGAAGACATGATATGTAAAATATTATACACAAGTCTAAATTTGGTTCTTACTTGTTGGCTACATTTCGCTCAAAAGAAACATTTTTCTCGAGATATGAAACATCATTTATTATAAAAATCAAAATTACACATCTTCTAATGGCAATGGTTTATGTGTTGATTGTGAAATAGAATTAGATAATTTGTTCAAAAAACATCAACAAAACAACCTCTATCTCATCATTTCGCCAATGCTTAGAGTCACACGACCAACACATGCGATACCTTGGTTGTTCTTTGCATACCCTACATTCGTTTTTTGAAGATATGATAAATTTGTCAACCTTCTGAGAGGCTGCTTTTACAAGATTGTCATTAGGTATGTCATAATACCTAACTTCCATGTCATCATCCCGAGCCAAGTATTTGCTATAAAACTCCTGTATTGCTAACAATAGAGCATCTTCTAGGCGTAACAAGGATCAACTTGAAACAAAAGAAAGATAGAGAAAAAAAATTGAAGAATTTAAGGGATCTTCCTCACATAGCAACTACAAAAAAAAGTTTTGATTTCGAATGAAATTTGTATTATGGGATCTAACCACTTAGTCTAACAATTCCAATAATTTACAACAGATTGATATCTCTCATGATCAATCTATGAACCATCTTCCAGACAGAACAACGATCAGCTCTAATATGTTTCTCTACAAACCCATTCCTTTCGTCTGTCTCAACACTTCAACATCTTTTCTGACATAAGAGACAAACGAAGTAATGTTCTTTTGGTACATTTTTGCTTCTGCTTGAGCAGTATTGGTTGGTGTGATTCATATGTAGGATCCTCCTCATAGGCACCAACAACAAAAAAACATTAAAGACGACTAATAGTATACGTATGAGAGTGTACATTTATATATTTTTACCCTCGTTTAACCTGTTACAATTATACACAGAAACTATATCATTTTGCGAATACGAATTAAACGAGGACGAATCCAAATTCATAAAATCTGTACAATATTACAGAAGATCACACCTCCATCAGAAGAAATCATCAACTGCTACAGCTGATGAAGGCAGCTCACGCTCATC